GATTGGCTGCAAATGGGTTTACAAAATCAAAACACATTCTGATGGCTCTATTGAACGCTACAAAGCTCGTCTTGTTGCCAAGGGTTTCAACCAAGAATATGGCATTGATTATGAGGAGACATTCTCTCCTGTTGCTCGGCTTACCTCTGTTCGCAGTTTACTTGCTGTTGGTACTGCTCGCCACTGGGGGCTCTTTCAGATGGATGTCAAAAATGCTTTCCTCAATGGTCATCTTCTTGAAGAGGTCTACATGCAACCTCCACCTGGGTCCACTTTTCCCCCTCATCAGGTTTGCAAACTACAGCGTGCTCTCTATGGCCTCAAGCAAGCGCCTCGTGCTTGGTTTGCTACGTTCAGTTCTACCATTCATGACTTCGGGTTCATCTCTAGTTCTTATGACTCTGTTCTTTTTATCCGGAATACTTCTCATGGTACCACTCTTCTTCTTCTGTATGTGGATGATATGATTATCACTGGTAATGATGAAGCTGGTATTCTCTACCTCAAACAGTTTCTCTACCGACAGTTTGAGATGAAGGACCTTGGTACTCTTAACTACTTCTTAGGCCTTGAAGTCTCTCATGATTCTACTGGTTCCTATTTGTCCCAGGCCAAATATGCATCCGATCTTCAGGCTCGTGCTGGTCTTACTGATTGCAAAACTACCTCTACTCCAGTTGATCCTCAGATTCGTCTCACTCCTCTCGATGGGACTCTTCTCTCTGATGCTACTCTCTATCGTCAGCTCGTCGGCAGTCTTGTCTATCTCACAGTAACTCGTCCTGACATTGCCTATGCTGTTCACATTGTTAGTCAGTACATGTCGGCTCCTCGCACTCCCCACTATACTGCTCTACTCCGCATCCTTCGCTACCTCAAAGGCACTCTGTTCCATGGCCTTCACTACTCTGCTTCCTCTTCCCTGGAACTACGTGCCTTTTCTGATGCTGATTGGGCTGGAGATCCTACAGATCGACGCTCCACCACCGTGCCTTTTCCGATGCTGATTGGGCTGGGGATCCTACGGATCGACGCTCCACCACGGGATTCTGTTTCTTCTTAGGGGATTCTCTTCTTGCTTGGCGTAGCAAAAAACAATCCCTCACTGCCCGCTCTAGCACCGAAGCTGAATACCGAGCTCTTGCTGATACTACTCAGGAACTTCTCTGGCTTCGCTGGCTCCTTACTGATATGGGTGTTTCTTCTTCTGATCCTACCCCTTTCTATTGTGACAATCAGAGTGCCATTCAGATTGCTCACAATGATGTTTTTCATGATCGCACCAAACATATTGAGATTAATTTTCATTTCATTCGCCAGCATGTTACCTGTGGTACTGTTCATCTTCTCCCTATTGCTTCCGTTGATCAACCCGCTGATATCTTCACTAAGGCTCATCCTCCTGGCCGCTTCAATGATCTTGTTTCCAAACTCAACTTGGTCGATGCCTACCCTCCTTGAGTTTGCGGGGGGCTGTTAACATATAATATACATATAATATACATATAGCTGTAAAAGACCTTGCATCTGTAAAGGCCTCAATGTGTAGCTGTAAAGAAGAGACCTTCACTTTATCTCTATAAAGAGAGTGCCTTCTCTTTGTAATACACACATAGTTTTGACAGACAAACAACAATTCATTGTCTCTCTCTCTCTCTCTCTCTATCCTCTCTCACTTTCTCAAACTATTATTTCAGCCATAGCCATGAAATATTTTTGTTCAGGCATTAGCTCAAAGTTTTTCAGCGAAGGAGCCATTTTCGTTGTGCCCATCTATTTCTATTATGGTCACTTTGTTAGAATTAGGTCAACTTGCCTAGGACTCAATATTGGTACCGGTCCACAATGATCAAAGCCGAATTGTGAACTCATATGAAACAAATTCAATGAAGTCAAAACTAGTACACCACAGAGAGGGCTATAAATTGGATGGTTTTGACATTTCGAAAGATCATTCTCTTTAAGTCGAAATAATTGAAACTTTTCTTGTTCAGTAGGGAAAATTCATAGAATTCAAACTGTCTAAATGGTATATTTCCCTTCTTTTTCGTTTGAATGTACTGGAGTTAAGACCATAACATAAATCCAAGAAAAAACACCTTTAGATGAGCAGAGTGTCAGTTTCAGTTTTTGATTATGATGTTTCACAGTTTGCCTGAAATATACTCATTCCCATTGAGAATTTTTCTTCACTGTCAATAGTAAGTTCCAACAGCCCAAAAAGAGAAGAGGATTTTCAAAACCATTGTGCATAGTACCAAGTTTCATATTGTTCATGACTACAGGGTAATTAGGTTTAAACGCCCACGTGTCTCACTTCTAGAAGAAAGACACGCATGAAAACCATATAGATTAGCTAATTTTTGTCTTTAAATTGGAAAAATCTGAATCTAGGTTTCGGCACAACCTTACCTTATTGAAAGGATATTTGTCAGCCGCTTCACTAAAACTAATTTCCTGACCATGCATAACAGCAACCACTAATTTGTATAAGAAAAAGAACTTACAGATTTTCGAGCACTAAAAGATTTCCCAGATCACTAGGAATTAATCCACTTAAGTAGTTACCCTGAAAATATCTGTAAAGAAGATACATTAAAATTGAAACTCAGAGAGGTCAACCAGTACAGAAATAAAAGAAAAGTTGACGCAGACAACTTATTTGGTCTGTGTACCTCCTCCCTATATGCTCAAAACCTATTCAGTTTCATTCTCACAAGCACAAAATTTAAATAATAAGCCACCTTCATCCGACCAAAAGAAATCTAAACTGTGAGGTGCAAACCAGGGCCGGCCCTGGGGTGAGGCGACTGAGACGGTCGCCTCGGGCCCCCAATTTTGAACAAAATTTAGGGGAGTGTATCATGTCATGTTATTTCATAATTATTTTAATATTAACTCAATTTATTTATTTTTATGTTGTCGTGTGGTGTTATTTTGATTCGTGTTCGATTGATGTTTAATGTGAAAACTTTCACTTTTAGTTAAAAATAACTTAGCAAGTGTATTGAGAGATTAAAATTTTTCTCATAAGTTGAATTTTATAAAATTTATTTCAACTAAATGAAATTATTCATAGAATGTTTGATTTTAATTCAATTGCATTTTTCTAATTAAAAAAATTGTACCTTATTACTATATATTTTTTATTAGATTGACTCTAAAATAGGTAACAAAAAAATATATATCTTAAATGAAAAAAAGATATTAGCCTTAATTATTATTTTGCATACTTTTTTATTCAGTTAGATAGAGTTAAATAAAAGATTAAAAAAATGCCATAGCATCTCTTATGCTGTGTTTGGTTGGGGGATTTGGGGAGGGATTTGGAAAGGAAAATGGAAAAGGTAGGTAAAATGTGAATAAAATATGTATATATTTCACATAGTTTCACACACATTTTCCCTTTCCCTTTCTAAATCCCTCCCCAAATCCCCCAACCAACCACACCATTAGTGAACATTCAAATATATAACTAATAATTCATGTTATTGAGTTGTGTCATACTTAGAATCATGTTGAAAATAGTCAACCTTAACTTGTTAATTTTATATATTGCTTGAGTTGTGTCAAAAATTCTCATCCTTACCCCCAATTAATTTTTGTTCTTATAGCATTGGTAAGCTAAAAAATAAAGATTCGATTCAACTAATTGAAGTTCAACTATTTTATATATATATATATATATATATTTGTTATCTAAATTTTGTTAAATTGTAATGCAATAGAAATAAATTTTTATCTTTTTTGTTTTATCCAAACAATTTTTTTTTGGATAATGATGGCCCCTGATAAGTCATGGCCGGCCCTGGTGCAAACTATCGGTTTCCATTATTGTGAGCCTAGCACACTAAAACCAGAACTATTTGGGTTGTCAGATTCAAGGATCAGAGCAGGCCATCCCAAGGTGAACAATGAAAAACACGTGTAATGGAGAGTCCAAAGTATCAATTCCACCAGCATCAATATTTCTCTGCCGAGGTCCACAATCTCAAATTTCCAGATTTGAAGATGATACAAAACCTCCCCAACTCATGCTCTCATATATTTTTTTCTCCCTATTCCTTTCATAATGGAAGGGCAAATACATACATAAAACTTAAGCAGAAAAATGGTGTAGAAAAATGAACTCATTTAGCCAATGCCAAGTTCGAGCAGAAAAACGAAGTAGCTTCACAGCAGATTTGACGAAGTACTCATTCAGCCAATACCATAAAAGATCTCAAATCTTAACAATCTTCAAAAGAGTAATCACATTAAATGTTCTTGTTAAAGGCCAACTCAAATTCATAATGCTCTAAATAGATCACACCAATTAGTTTTTATAAAAAAAAAAAAAATAGTGCCTAATTAACGAATTTTGATGCAGATCCTTGTAAAATCACTGGACTGGAATAATGAAAGTAGAGATAATTCTAAAAGAATTCATCATTCAAATATAAATCACAAAATAACTAAATATAAATCACAATATATATGATTGAATTATTAAATAACATGTGTCGTAAATTTTGAATTTTCAAAAAAAAAGATGAATTAATACTTTGGAATCTAAAAATTACACAACATTTTTGTTTTATATAATAGTATTTTTCTCCCTACGTTTTATATAATGAGGTAAATTGCATTTTGTTTTATTTATTTATTTTTATTTTCTTTTGTTGAGCCATCGAACTTTATTTCAACCTTCCATTTCTTAATGTTGTTTTATCACTTCCTTTTCCTTCTTGGGGTAACTAATTTCAACCTTCCATTTCCTCTTCCTTTTTTTGATACATAATTACCATATTCCCATTAAAAAACTTTGGTAACTAAAATCAAATATTCTCTCCAATTCCAATTCCTATTCTAGAGAAAGATATATATACAAAATCAAAATCAAAATCACCGTAGAAAAATTAACAATGATAATAACAACTCATAACAGATTTGATTTAATCAAAAGCATATCTATAAATTCAAAAAAAATGATATTATAAAAAAATAGAACAATTATGAAACTAACGAATCAAGCCAGTAGCATAAACTGGAAATTCCTCGCAAAATCTACTACTGTTATTCCCAGTAAATGCCAAGTGATCAACCTCGAACAAATCCGAGCTCGAATCACTAACCGCATCGTCATAGTCGTCTTCGTTGAGCACCATAGCATTCTTTGCATACCCTTTCAAAATCTCTCTCGTGGCCGCTGCCTCTTCAATTTTCCTACTCTTTTCCACAAGAACTTGCCGGCGGTTTAGTTCTTCCATCCCATACTTGCCGGAACTGTTTTCATATATGCCTTTATGGCCGCAAGGACGACCATTTTCGTCCACGATCACGCTCACCGGATTGAATGTTACAGTCTTTTTCACACCATTGTTGGGTTTCCCCTTCGAATTCATTGAGGTTTTATATAAACATGACCTGAAATATGAAGATAGCCATGAACGAGTAGATGCTTGAGTGGACTTTGCTTTTCTCTCCACACGTGCATCCCTGTAACCTCCAGTTGATGATGAGCTTGAGTTATTCGTATTCTTGGAATTTCCATTACTGAACAGAGAGTTTAAATAGCTCAATTTTGAATTGCTGAAACTCTTTAAAACTCTCAATTTTAACTTTATCAAACCATCTTCATTCTTCAAATTCCCCATTTTCTCCGAAACATGAGTAGTCTTCACTGGCTTTGGCCTCTTTGCGGTGATACAAGAAGTCCTCGATTTCTCGTTCTCGAGGAGACATGCTCGGCGGTGGCTCGCCGTGTCTTCGTCCATGACACTACTGCCATGACTCTGTTTCTTGACGACTTCATTGTAAAACTTCAATTCGTGGCATTTCTTGTTCCCGCCATCCATGGAACGGTAGATTTCGTCGAGAATACTGGTAGCAAATGATGGGTACATATGTGTGCTTTTGTGCATGTCCATTATATATATCAGTTTAAATAAAAGAGGAAAAAAAAAAAAAAAAAAAAAAAAAAAAAAAAGTTTAAAAAAAAAAAAAAAAGAGGCAAGACTAGTAGCATATGATGAACACAGTGAAGAAGCAAAGAAGAAGAGAAGAAGAAGAACAATAAGAAGATGCCGTGAGTAAGATGACGAGAATTGTGAAGAGTCTGGCTTTATAAAGGCAAGGGAAAGGAATTGCGGGTGGGGCGTCCGGGATTGAGGCTATTGCCACTGCCAGTTTGGCATTTTCAGTGCAAAATCACCGGTTATTATTTCATAATAAAAAAATATTTCATATCTTTCCAACCTAATTTTCTCCTATTGATTGTTATTTTCTTTAAAAAAAATTAATTTTGTTTCTTACTATATTACTATATTATTCATACCATATATAACTATTCTCAATTTTTTAAAATTCATGATAAAAATTAGGAACTTTCAAAATATTTTTATTTAATTACACACATTTAATTTCTTTTGTACACTTTTTTTTTCTTTTTTGATTTGTTTTGTACACTCATATGTACTACTATTTATGCCTAAATTATAAATTTTTTTATCTATATATTATATAAGCAAAAGGAGGTTCTTGTGAGGAATATTGTGGGAGCTCTAAAACCTCAAAATAAATTTGTAAATTTATTGAATTAAAAAATAAATTGAAATTGGCTAATCCATTAAAGTAATAATTTTCAAAATATTAATAATTTCATAATTTATAGTTTTCAAAAGGAACGATAAAAAAAATATTTCATATCTCTCCAACCTAATTATTTCCCACTAATTTTTATTTCTTTTAAAAAAAATTAAAACTTGTTTCTTAATATATTACTATATTACTATATTATTCATACCATATTTAACTACTCTCAAATTTTTAAAATTTGTGATAAAAATTAGGAACCTTCCAAATATTTTGATCTAATTTATGGAAGGTCAAAGGGTGAGTTTATGCCTAAATTATAATTTTTTTTATTCATATATATTATATAAGTAAAATGAGGTTTTCGTAAGGAATATTGTGGGAGTTCCAAAATCTCATAATAAATTTGTAAATTTAATGAATTAAAAAATAAATTTAAATTAGCAAATCCATTAAAGTAATAGTTTTCGAAATATTAATATAATTTATAGTTTTCAAAAGGAAAGATAAAAAATATTCCATATCTCTCCAAGCTAATCATCTCCCATTGATTTTTATTTCCTTGAAAAAAAATTAAAACTTTTTTCGTATTAGATTAGTATATTATTCATACCATATATAACTACTCTCAAATCTTTAAAATTCATAATAAAAATTAAGAACCTTCCAAATATTGTGATTTAATTTATGGAAGGTCAGAGGGTGAGTTTATGGTGCATTCACACGAGTGGTTATAGACCAAAAATATTGGAAACAAAATAATAATGTAAATTCTTATGATATTTCTTAGTAGTGCCTCCTGCTCATAAAAAATATTTCGAGTTTAGAATGTTTTGACCAGATTCATTTTAGTGTGACTTACTAATACACCACCAAGTTTAAATTTACATAATAAATTCATATTTTAAATATTTCTTTTTGATATTTTTTTCTAAGCATAATTTATGAATAATTTTTAAATTAAGAAAATATTGAGTAGAGCTTATTATGGTTATTCGTGTCTCATTCTATGAATTTTGTGCATAGAATGAGACGATTCTGGTTAATTTGCCAATAATGTACCAACTATATATATATGCATCGATGATAGTTAATTCTTGATTATTTTTTCAAGTTAAAATTGTTTACAATAATGTTATAAAGGTAATGTTATACCCTATGCAATTTATGAAATAATTTAATGATATAAGAGTCATAATTATTAAAAAAAAATGAGTTATAAACAAATACCAGATAAGGTATAAACCTAGAAATGAGTCATAACTATTTAAAGGGAGAAATTTTGTTGTTTAATTATTTCCAATTTCCACAATCAATATTTAAATAGAAAGACTCTGATAGGCATGTACAATTGGCAATTCCAGATCACCTCACTTTTTTTTTTAAGAGGTATTTACACGCACGTCCTAATTTATGAACTTATACTCCATTAAGTTTTAACTAAGATTTTTTTGACATTCAAGTCCCATTAAGTTTTTAATAGTTTAAGTTGCCCTTCAAATAATAATTGTTTATCATTTATGATTACCTATAAAAGAATATAATAATTTGGCATTTATTTTGATTTTAAAAACTTTAAAACATCAACTTTTAAATTGAAAAAACATAAATATATATATATATATATATATGCGTGTGTGCCAAAAAAAAAAGTAATTTTTTTTTTGAAAAATTTGAATTATTTTCTTCTGCAAAACTGAAAATTTTGTATCTATAAAGAACCTTGATGATGGAACATTAATGTACAAAACTGAAAAGAAAAAAAACTTTAAAAATGAAAACATTGATAATGTTATCAGTTTTAAAACTGGAAATGTGACGCCCCAAATTTTTAGAATATCAAGGGAAATTAAATAAACAAAATGACTTAATAAATCAAAATATTTATGATAAAAATTAGGAACCTTCAAAATATTTTGATTTAATTACAAACATTTAATTTATGTTGTACACTTTTTTTTTTCTTTTTTTGATTTGTTTTGTACACTCGTGAAGAATATTGTGGGAGCTCCAAAACTTCATAATAAATTTGTCAATTTATTGAATTAAAAAATAAATTTAAATTGGCTAATCCATTAAAGTAATATAGTTTTCAAAATGTTAATAATTCTATAATTTATAGCTTTCAAAAGGAAAGATAAAAAAATATTCCATATCTCTCCAACTTAATCATCTCCCATTGATTTTTATTTCTTTAAAAAATAAAAAATTAAAACATGTTTCTTACTATATTACTATTTTTCTTACTTTTTTCTTACTGTATTACTATAATATTTATACCATATATAACTACTCTCAAAATTTTAAAATTTATAATAAAAGTTAAGAACCTTTCAAATATTTTGATTTAATTTGTGGAAGGTCAGAGGGTGAGTTTATGGTGCATTCACCAGAGTGATTATAGACCAAAAACATTGGAAACAAGAAAATAATGTAAAATCTCTCAAGATTGTATTTATGATGTCATTTCTTAATAGTGCCTCCCGCTCATAAAAATTATTTTGAATTTGGAATGTATTGACCAGATTCATTTTAATATGATTTACTAATACACCAAGTTTACAATAATGTTGTAAGGGTAACGTTATACCATATGTAATTTATGACATAATTCAATCACATGAGATTCATAACTATTAAAAAAAATGAATTATAAACAAATATCACATAAGGTATAAATGTAGATATGAGTCATAACTATTTAAAAAGAGAGATTTTGTTGTTTAATTATTACCAACTTCCACTATTGGTATTTAAATAGAAAAACTGTGATAGGCATACAATTGGCAATTCCAGATCACCTCAGATTTTATTTTTTTTAATAAGTTAAGTTTTATTCTTCAAATTTTAATGCAAGCTCAAAACAATTTGTTCTTAGTGGGAGCCCCTTACTTGCACACTCAACAACATCAAGTTAGTTATTTTGTTTGATTCAAACTTCAAAATGTCATAAATTTTGATGGTGTATATTCTTTTTAATTAAAATTAAAAAATTTAGAATCTACTTTTTTTCTGATTTTTGTAATTAGATATTATGGCTACTGCAACTGAAACTGAAACTGCAACTGGAAGTGGTACTCTAATTGTTACACCAACACCGATCTCTATCCAGAACCATGTTCAAGTACCAATAAATCATGGAGAAAAATCGAAAAAATTTAACGGTACTGAGTTTAAGAGATGGTAACAGAAGATGTTGTTCTATCTTACAACTCTAAATTTGGCCTGGTTTCTCCATGAAGAGGCTCCAACACTTAAAGAGGGTGAAAGTGATTGGCAAGTTATTGCTGCTATAGATGCTTGGAAACATTCAGATTTCCTATGTAGATACTACATCCTTAATGGCCTTGACAAAATGCTGTATAATGTTTACAGCCCTCTGAAATCAGCAAAAGAATTGTGGGATTCTTTGGAGAAGAAATACAAGACAGAGGATGCCGGCACGAAGAAATTTGTTGTCGGTAAATTTCTGGACTTTGTTATGGTAGACTCCCAAACGGTCATTTCTCAAGTTCAAAATTTTGAAATAATTTTGAATGATATTCATTTTTGAAGGTGTGCCTCTTAGCGAGTCTTTCCAAGTCGCAGCTCTAGTGGAAAAGTTACCACCGGCTTGGAAAGATTTCAAAAATTATTCAAAACATAAACGCAAGGAGATGACCATGGATGAATTGATTGTAAGATTGAGAATTGAGGAAGATAACTAAAAGGCTAAAAAGAGGAATGGGAAAAATCTCATTGAGTTCAAGGCTAATGTGGTTGAATAAGTTCACAAACCACATAACAAAAAGAGGAAGTTTACTGGAGATGGTCCTAAACAAGGCGATAACAATGGCAACAAGAAGTTCAAAGGAAAATGTTATAACTGTAGCAAGACTGGATATCGAGTTTTTGACTGCCACCGCTCTAAGAAAGATCACGGAAGTACAAGTAAGAAGACTACCAACCAGGACAATGTAACTGAACTAGATTATATCTCTGACGGAGTGAATGACATCAACCTCTGTGCTGTGGTGTCTGAGGCTAATTTGGTTGGAAATCCCAAGGAGTGGTGCGTTGACACTGGAACAACTCGTCACATATGTGCGGACAAGAAGATGTTCACTACCTACAATGAGGCTGCTGTAGACACCCCAATTTTGACCGACCTCAAGACTCAGACGTCATCGATTAAGCGCTCGGTGATTGCACATGTTGTGCTCGTTCTGAGGTTACGGAGTCTCGGCTGAGAGACTTGCCTCCGGACTTCGGGACTCTTTTGTGCTTTGCCTCGGTTTGCGAACCAGGTTCTGTTTTCTCTTCCCGAAGGGAG